TAAACATGTTAAGTACGACGTATAAATGGGTTTTCGCAGTCGAAAAGGCAGGTATATCTAAAAAAAAAACGGCCAAGTGCGAGGAGGACTCGTACACGAAGGGTTCCGTACTATAATCTATAGAAAGGGCAAAAAGAAAAACATGTCTGTTGTATGGGAGGGGCTCCCTTATATATTTTTTATTCTGCTTTTTAGTATTTTTTGTTATGTAGGCAAAAGAAATACATCATCTGTGAAAATTTCAACTGTCTAATTATCACGGTTCATGCGATACAACCTGTTGATAGATGGACAGACAGTCAGACAGGCAGCGGAGTCTTAGTAATAGGGTTGTACCATTTGGGTACGGAACCCTGAAAAGCATCAACGGAACTAGGTAAGAGCACTCATTTTTCGGAGCACAGTAACCTGGAATGACCTAAGTAATTTGGAGTAAGTCGCGACGACCTACACGCTCCTAGAATACGGGCTACGGCATTAAAGCTTAACTACTCGTGTACGTAGCAGCCGTAGCAAATTTTAAAGTTCATCTGGCAAAGTTATAATTTATCTTAAGTGTTGGACATAAGGTTGCTTTTAGAAATGCGGTGCTGTTATTTAAGTGAAGTAATAATTTTGGTTGGTGAGGAACGTTCTCTTATACCTTGGCCTTGTGACACACTAGCGAATAAAATTCATATCACATAAAAAAAATATTTTTAAATTAGTAAAAAAATGCTTGTCTTGAAAATATTATTCCATTAAAAAGCTCAATTTTAAGATAGAAACTACTGTTTTTAAGCACAAAATTTTACCGAAGTTTTGAAGTCTGTTGTGAGAGTAATTACTATTTTTTGCGCACAAAATTTTTCTTATATTTTGAAGTCTGTAATTTACGCACACAAATGTGCTATATCCATAGTCTCACAATAAATTTAATATTAATCTTTAACGTCAATATGTCTACGTGGTAGAAACGGCCAATTCGTTTTTAACTGAACCATATTACGGCATCAACGAGATTTCGAAACCATCTTTTGTTTTGCGTCCTACCTGCTCGTGTGTATCATTCCAAGACTCGCCTAATTTGAGTTTATGAGACGGGCTTAACGCGAGCCTTCGGATAATGTATGGGTAAACTAACCTTGCGCCGGCAACCCCGGGAACATGGTACAATATTATGTTTACGAGGTTCGCGTCATAGCCGAATGTATAGGGAGATATTTTTTGAAGGAAATTGGGCTACATAAATTTGTCCCGAAAGCGGCAGGAAAATTTTTCAGTTCTTTTAAAACATCGACTAAGTACGAGTGTAACTCGCGCACAAAGGGTTCCGTACCATCATCCTTCAGACCGGGAAAAAAGTCATGTCTGTTGTATGGAAGCCCTTAAATATTTTATTATTTTGTTTATTAATATTTGTTGTTACAGCGGGAACAGAAATACATCATGTGTGAAAATTTCAACTGTCTAACTATCACGGTTCATGAGATACAGACTGGTGACAGACGGACAGACAGACAGCGGAGTCTTAGTAATAGGGTCCCGTTTTACCGTTTGGGTACGGAACCCTAAAAAGAAACTTGAATAAATTGAAAGCTATAAGGCGCTTGAATGGAGTGTTATAATTAAAAATCAAACATTTTATATCTATAAATTGATAGAAATACTTTTTTCATAATAAGCTACTTTCAAAATATTCCAAAACCGAAACAAATTATCCATCGATTATAACTTTTATATCTTCATCAAGTAATAATAAGCACTTAAAATTGAAATATATCGTTGTGAGCGACTCATGTGTGTAATGTAGTATATGTGTAGATCTAATTGTTTTCATTATAATGCAATTTGCAAATAACAAAGAAAACTGGAGAACTATAAGAAGAACATTTTACCATTTCAATTGTGTATACTGAATGTAAAAAAACAACAACTTAAATTGAGTTTGTTCAAAAATTTATAAAGGTACGCCGAAACTAGAAACTCCGCGAGATGTGCAATCAACTAAGACACGGGCGAAACCGTTTATTTCCGCCGCAGAGACAGCACGTTTGGCGTCCACACGTCGCTAGCTTCCGCGGACACGTGACAGGTGACAGGTGACAGGCGGGTGACAACCCCGTGTGAGGGATTGCGGGGACCGCGGCGGGCTCCGGGGCGATATGAAATTCCACCGTATTCCGGCATTTTGCGCAGAAAGTCACCACTGTATGTGCTTCAGGGCGTACGCAGTGCGTTTTCGAAATTTTCGCGAAAACCGTTCACCTTGAATTCGTAAGCAATATTCGCGAGCACCGAATTTTCGTACTTATTGGACGACTTCGGAAAAATTTGGACATTAAAAGTTGAAGCTTGATATCAACAAAGATAGAACAAGCCAATACAGCGAGATGTTTTGATAATATTTACTGCTTTAAGTTTTTTTTTATATTTATGCTACAATCGATATTAACTCGTCTAATAGTATATCTCATTTTAAAAGTCGGAAGAATGTTAGAAAAAAAATTCTAATCGTGACTAGAGAAGACAGTAACAAAGCGTGAGCGTTGCCTATTTCTGTTTGAATAATGGCTTACTGAAATACTTTTTACTCGTGCATATAAATATCAACAGGCCAAACCACAGCAAGAAGGTTGAATATCCCAACAGAATTAAAAAACAGCATCACAAGCACAAATTACGCGTAGGCGTTAATTAAAAAAAGTATCGAAACAAGCGTCCCGCATAATGAACCGGCAGCACCTAGTTATTTATTTTCCCGCCATCAGCGGCCGTGTCTAAGTCTGGCAATAATTCTAGAATGTTCCACTCGCTCTGCTTATAAATGCAAATTGAAGTAACAGCGGTGAGGCCCTGTAAATACGCTGCTACAACGCTCCTTTGCCAGCGACACGATAGTTCGCAACATAATTTTAGAGCTGCACGTAATATTATGATCACAAATACAGCGAAGTGCCTTAATTAAATTTCACGTTGATTACAATTATATAATAACGGTGTGTATAAATGTGTCCTAAAAATAATAAATAATATTTTACGACACATTTGTACACAACGTTCTAGTCCCAAACTAAGCACCGCTTGTATTATGGGTACTAGATCACTGATAAACATACTTAAACATACTTGTCCTTTGTAAATAAATACCTATTATACATATATACCCAGACACTATAAAAACACTATGTATAAATTCATCACACAATATTTTTCCAGTAGTGGGGATCGAACACACACCCTCTGGCGTAAGAGGCAGATACACTACCCACTACGCCATTCGGGTCGTCGATGGACACATGTAAAATTCATGTTTGCTGTGCTACTTATGATAAGTTTTTTATTTTTTTTAACTAATATAGACTGCCTAATGCTTGACTGACTTCTCAAACGGTGATTAATGTATGGTAACTCACTAAAACAATTTAACTCCACGCAACATATTGCCTAAGAGAGAATATCTACAGGCAATTAGATAGAGCTTTAGAGATTCTTATTTAATGACATTTACCATAAAGAGAGAAGTATTTAAAATATGAGTTATATAATCCTTAGTGGTAAACGTAAATAGCTCGCTTCAAGCCCGTCATTCATATAAAGCGTAACAGGGACAAGAGTATCTGATTTGCTTCCTAAGATTTTATCTAATTAAAACATGCATAAATAAATACATAAAGCATTCATGTATTAGTACACCCTAATTTGCAACTGAACTGATAGAAACTCTTTAGCTGTACTAATTTTTTCATCAGGTATTCATTATATATATGATAACAGTTGTGTACAATACTCACGACAGGTAGACATTTCAATTTCAATGCTGCATGCATTGAAATTGAAATGTCTACCTTGTGTTGTGCTCTATTTCTTACCATAATTACTTGTATACTGACAAAATAAAATTACAAATTATAAACAACGTCAATCTCAGTTACTCATGACATATAATTTGCAGAGTGAGTTATTAAATTTTCCCATCACTTTAACCTCGCTAAGACTTAATTTATCTGCTCTACTTCAAAGTCCCAACGTTCATTTATACTAAACTAGGAAATCATTTGTAAAATGGTAAATTTTAAAGTTATTTGCAATCTTAACTGGATATAATATGTTAAAGACAAGACAAATCTTGTCTTTTAAAATTAAATTTGTGAAACCAAACCTTTCCGAAGATAAAACATATACATCTATCTCATAAGCATATTGAAGTTATATTATATACAAGAGTATTAAATCGCGTTTCACGTTCCTCACAAGGCTTACAGAAAACAAATACTTCGTATTAATGTTTTACCTACTCTCATTTAAACTGGTAGGTAGTCAATTATACATTTGCTTTTAAGTGTTTCTGATCAAAGTTCCGTGATATCTAATTAAACCCTTATTAAGAAAAAACACTTATCTTTTCAGACATATTCAAAATGATACCAAGATTCGTGGAAAACAAAATAAAGAAAAAGTCTTGCACCTCTAAAAACTGCTTTCCCCGCTACCGTCCGTGTGAGAACTAAATCAACTAAATTAGTTTCGTTATCACTTTGAGCCAGGTGCAGACCAACAATGAGAGCGTGCTCGCCAGGGCTCGACCCGTCTACGTCTATTTACCTCCCATTGTTAAGAGTTTTCACGATGTTCGCAGACAGAATTGCAAGCGTTACTTAAAAATCTTCCATTAGGATATGAGACGTTTAAACTTCTTATGTCATTTACATTGCCTTCATCGTTTCTTTTAGCATTTTTGCATCTTGTTATGGACATGTATATAGAAGAGTGAAGATTTTATTTTGCTCTAACTTACATCTATATTTTTTAAGTCGTACACAGAATTGACGCCACACATTGGGTTAACTATGCGAATACTAACATTCAATAATATTACCCAAACATAAAAACTGCTAAATGTTCAAATCGTCTGGTTTTACGAATTTAAATTAAGTGCAATATTTTTTTATATTTATTTCAAAATTATGTATGTTATGCAACTGTGGTAGGGCCACGTAACAGTGTTCACTGTAGCAAGAATGGGCAGGTCCGTCCGGGTAAGTATCACCACCTCACAGAAGACCGGCGTAAAGTAGTAGTGTTACACTTCTGCATTTCGTCTGGTGAAAACATACGGCCGTGGTTCGTGTCACGATCATTTACACACTTTTTTCAGATCATTGCTTTCTTTATTTTTTGTTGATCCAGATGATTTTGTTATATTTTTTTTTCCTTTTTTTTTTTAAATTGTTTCTTTTGTGAAAAACACCACTTCATATTTTCTTATTATTAGGTCGGTAAGATCGAAAAATATTATGCATATTTCATTACTCAGTAATTTGTATCTGAATGTAATTTCCAATATACACGATTTACAAAAAAAACAAACTGAGCAAAGCTCGGTCCTTCAGGTACTAAATATTATGAGCGTATTTAGTAATTATGGGTGCGTGATTAAAGCGTTTTTTCTGAAAGGAAATGATATTCGTGATGTCCTATTGAAGCTTTAAAATATATAAACACAAAAAATGTAATTGAAAAATATATTGAAAGTTTCACGGTAGATAAATATATTTTCTACCTCTCTTTCTAATGAGAAGAGCATTTTATTTATTTTCACGTATTCTACAAAGGAACTATTTTCCGTACTGCTTTCAATTTGATTAAAGTCAGTCGTTAGTCGTAAAAGTCCCTTTTAAAACTAATGTATGCGACTGCACCGCACACAGTTGTTCCTTTAATCTTTTTTTCTCTGGAATTGTATCGCTCAGGTAACCTATTTCTGCATGAATATGCATTGGAAAAAAAAGTGAACGATCCGACGTAATTTGAAATGGAAATACATCGACAGTTGCGCTTTACAATTGCAGCGGAATTAGCGGATCTTGCATTGGTGTCAGAAGAATAAACGCCGACACGACACGGTTATTTTTCAGAAATTTTAAGTAATTTTTAAATAAATAATTGCAAATATTACGTAAGAGAATTGAAGGAACTCTCTTAGCACTACAGTTTTAAAATAGAAAAAAACCAAGACAGTAACTCTGAAATATCATAAATTGCTTTGGAACAGTAATTTGGCTAAAATTGGCATACTTTTTTTTCAGCGCTGCGGAAATCAACATATCGAACCTGCATCCTTCAGAATGTATAAGAAAGCGTTGAAACATATTGTTTTGCAGGGAACAGCTTTTGGACACAGGAGCGCACGCGGTCACCGTGAAACAAGGTCGAAGGAGGGGCCTTATTGAATTTGCGATAACGTGTCGTCTTCAAAGCGCCGAGAGATTGCACCCGGCGTGCATCTGTCGTTCCTTGCGCTTCGTCGGCGAATAGCAGAATTGGGTTCACGGTCGAATCTCTCGTGCAAGGACCTGATGCCAGCGAAACCATTTTGCGATTCACTGTAGAGAGCATCGCATGTAATATACGATTTGATGTAGTGGAGCATCGGATTGGACCGAAAGAAATTAATTCAATTGTCGATTATTCCATGTACGAAGTTTTTATGGTTAAGGTGTAAATGTTTCATTGAATCTGATATTGTTCATTAGCTTTATTACACTTTTTGAGATTATCAATTGACGTTCAAGATATTATTAAGACCACACGTCTTCGGGTTGTGAGATTCGAGTAAAAGGACTGTATTCTAATCTTCGCTTTGTTTGCACAGTTAAACAGGTGCGAGGACCCTATTATTAAGGATATCTTCTTCTTCTTCTTCAGCGTATGTTCGCCCACTGCTGGGCATACGCCTATCCAATTTTCTTCCATTCAGCACGACTCTTTCATTCCCTTGTCCAGACTGGGCCTGCTGTCGCCTTATGTTATTGGACCATCGGGCTGGTGGTCTGACCAGACTTCTCCTGCCTAGCCGGGGTCTCCAACGTTCGTCTTTTCTTCAGCACATGTGTCCGGCCCAAGCCCACTTTAACTTCGCCCACGTCGACCACTTTCGTGCGACGTCTAATGAGCTCGTTCTGGACTCGGTCGTGCAATGTTATGCCGAGCATGGCACGCTCCACATTGCGCTGCGTCACGCATCCATACGTCATAGCCGGAAGAACACATTGGAACTCATTGAGAATATAATTATGTTATATTAAATAAATATATTTTTGTTATGTGAGAAGGTGCCAAGCGAGCTGATGGTTCACCTAATGTTAAGACATAACAATCACCCGTTGACATTTGCAACACTAGTAGGTGATGGTTGGATGGTGACCAACAACAGACGAAACACAGAAGTATAACACTTCCACCTCACGCCGGTCTTCTGTGAAGTCGTGGTACTTACCCGGACGGACCTGCCCATAAGTATTACTCGGTACAATAAAGTGTAATGTTAATACGTGTTACAGGCCACTTGATATATTATACAGACAATTTTGATATCAAGTAAATAACCAAAATAACTTAGTTCAAAAATTCAATTGATTTGAAAAAAAAAACAAAGTTTCACACTAAACAAAGAAATAAAAAGTTCAGAACTGAATGATATTGATTTAATAAGTTTTTAATCACAAGTTTCACACTAAACAAAGATATAAAAAGTTCAGAACTGAATGATATTGATTTAATAAGTTTTTAATTGAAGAGAAGAAACTAACTTGAATTTGTAGAATACGCTTCATTGCCATCAGCGAGCAGGTGCGAGCAAAGAACTAAGAGCGGATGTACTTGTTGTGACTTTAGCTCTGTCTTCCTCTACTTAACCCTATTGTGAAGCACTTCTTATTGTTATAAGGCAACTCGCTCCAGTAGTGTCGCTGCTTAAAGTGAGTCTAACGTGAGATGTTAGAGAGCTTGCCTCATATAGCTGAAGCAAATTGTTCCAATGGAATCGCAGATACAAATAAAGCGATAATTTTATGTCATTGTCTTTATACTAATTAATTTAAATAAAATTTTCAAGGCTTTTCAGATTGAAAAAAAAATTCTCGAAGCAAATGACTTTTAAAGGTAGTAAAGTATACAAGAAGCGTTATAATATATAGCAGTTACATTAAAACTTGTAGAAAAAGTACAAAAAGGTTGTCGCCGCTGTGGGAATCGGACCCACGTCTTCGGCATTCGCGGCCTGACGCTTTAGCCACTAAGCTAAGCGGCTGATCGCCACACCGACGAAAATCTTCTGCTGCTTAGTACGAGGTAAACTCTGCCAATCAGTGAGTTCGGTGCTCTACCGCACCGAACTCACTGATTGGCACTAGTCTACCACACGACCTCACTTCAGATATTTTCGAAATATTTTTACATTTTTATGAAAATAAAGTAGTGTAATCCCAGTGTAATGTTCCTATATTGAATAAATGTATTTGATTTTAATTTTGATTATGACAGAAAATTATAGGGAGCATCATAATCAACCCTTGTGGTGATTCAAAGGCACTGTATGAACAGTACCTTTCAACTTTTTTAAAGTGAAAAGTTGCCAAGCGGTATAAACAGGTGGAACAATAAACAAGTGGTAAACAGCAATAACTGCCTCCTATGGACATATAGACAGATGGTGAAAATATGGATTTTATTATGTGCAAATTTTAACGTTTTATTATGTTTCATCATCATCATCATCATATCAGCCGTAGGACGTCCACTGCTGAGCATAGGCCTCCCCCATTGACTTCCTCTTCGACCGGTCGTTAGCGGCCTGCATCCAACGCGTCCTTGCGATCTTGGCTAGTCGTCCGTCCACCTTCTGGGAGGCCTTCCTACGCTGCGCTTGCCGTCACGTGGTCTCCACTCGAGAACCTTTATGTTTATTTTTACTATTTATATTTATTCATACGAGTTTACATGTTAAATTAGTGCTAATGAGACCATAGATTTGTTTCTCACTAAACTTTAAAGTTTATTGCTCTTTGACAGCCTCTTCTATTCATATGAGTAAGTAATAAGCTCGTACTTACATTCATATATTTATATAACGATGAAGTTGAGTTGATGTTTAAACATAAGTTCATAGAAATCTTTTAGCAAAATAAGGCTAAAAGATTAAAGGCCTTATTTTGCAGGTCTAGTCGGAATTTCATGTAATTAATGCTATGAGATTAAAATTTAAGCAGAAATTCATGGCAAAAGTAAAACTTTTCACTGAATGTCAAACAGTCATTTGACTTTTATTTTATCCAACTTGTTGAAGGTTATTCCAAAAAATTAGATGTTAATTTATATTCGAGTTTACCATCTTTTTTGTCCTTTTACGTTCATTTAAATTCCACTGGAGCTTCAAGACTAAAATGTTACAACTTGTTCGCAATTAAGCAAACAAAGACTAAATTCGTATTCGTATTTATTTAAAATCTGTGTAACGTTTAGTAAATACGTATATATTTGAGCTATATGGCTGGCCCGTTGTCACTTCCGCTAACTAAACCTCTGAGCTAAGTTGTTATCCTTTGTTTTACTGCGAATGTATTATGTCATATACCTCAAAGAACCGATAACCCATGGAAAAATAAGTCCTCGAGTGGCAGCTTTGTATTGACAACCGTAGTGTTCTTAACCCCAATATAACGATGCCATAGTCAACTACGTCATAATCAACTACGTCATATCCAACTACGTCATGATCATAGTCAACTAGGTCATGGTCATAGTCAAATATGTCATCTACGTCGTACTCAACTACGTCGTAGTCATGTTCTTAACCCCAATATAACGATGCCATAGTCAACTACGTCATATCCAACTACGTCAATATCATACAATGTCAACGAGGTCATGGTCATACTCAACTATGTCATAGTCAACTATGTTGTAGTCATAGTCAACTATGTATTTGCTTAAACACTCAGTCCATATTTGAGTGAGTGTACTAATTCATAAAAAAAAATGTAAATCAGTGGGAGAATTTTTAGTACATAAGGTTCTCTAAACTACGTCGAATATAACTTTAACCTTTATATAGAACGAATAAACGCTTGCGAAACTTACAAAACAATCAAAAAGCCATTCCCTTTCGATAAAAATTTAAACTCATACGATTAGAACGAAACAATTTCGTAGAATGCATGCGGTAAAACAAGTGAAGAAATAAACTTGCCCCTCTAGAAACTATTTTCATTGCTTCCTTCCTGCGAACTGTATCAACTAAATAAGGTTCGTTATCACTTTGGACCATGTGCATTCCAACATTGAGAGCGTGCCCGCCAGCACTCGATGCTTCTATGTCTATTTAACCCCCATTGTTGAGGTTTCACGGTGTTCACGGAACGGAGGCGAACGTTGCTCTAAAATCTTCCATTACATTACGAGACGTTTAAGCTGCTTATGTGATATAACCAGTCTTTTGTGCGTCATCTTCACCGTTCCCTTTTTGTACGCGTGATACATATTTTATAATATACGTTAAATATTGTACACGGTGCATTAGTGAAATAAATGATGATGATAGTATAATTGACGTGTACGTGTATGTGTTCTCATACAATGAGTTGAAAATGTTGTCAAAACAAATTAGTGTTTGATGTGTCTTGCCTGATAGTGAATATCATAAGGCGCAATCACAGTGGAGACAAAGTTTATTATAAATTACAGTTTCGTCGACATATTAAACATAATTGTGGTGGGTACTATGTTGTTATAATAGACAATTAAATTAGAGCGGTGTTAACCTATAGAGGCCGAGACGTAAATTCGCTATCTAAATTAGTCTTTTGATAAATGTGGGTAGGGAGTGCTATGGTGCATCACTAAGAGTACGTAACTGTATTTACTTTAAGAACATTTTTCATAATAATAATATTGATAATTAGATTACTGACATTAACTCAAAATTTTATTAGTGTCTATTGTGTTATTAAAGAGGCTGTTGCACGAATGAACGGGCTCGTCCGGGTAAGTACCACGACCTCACCGAAGACCGGCGTAAAGTGGAAATTTAATACTTTCGCGTTTCGTCTTGTGAGTGAGGTGGCCAGAGCCCAATTTTCAAAAGGTTGTCAACGCAACTGAAACTCTCGGGTATAGCAAATGTCCATGGGCGGCGGTATTCACTTAACATCGGGTGAACCGTCTTCTCGTTTGGCAACTTTTCACATAAAATAAAAATATTTTTGATATAATGTGCCAGATTACTGTTATAATTAGTAATTATTGTGTTAGCGTCCTTGAATTAATGTACCCGCTTTGCGATAATCGTAGTCTAGTTTGTTGTTTATAATTTAAGTATTTGGTATGTACTGAAAATTGGTAATTCTACCGAGTACATACCTATTAAAATAACTTTAATTTTGACATCAACACGTGAAATAACCCAGTCTGTCCCATAACTATAAATACTAGAAAAAGTTCGAAACATCGGGAATTTAAAATCAAAATTAAAATTTATGTTAAAGATTGCCGTATAACACGATCATACTAACATATCATTATGTTATTATAAAAGAAACTGGCGTCCCTTTTCCCAGAAAGTTACTGGCGAAGATATATTATTATTTTTCACTGGAATCGCATGGCTCAGGTTACCTATTTCTATGAATACGTATTGTAAAAAAATAGGACAACTCCGCCGTCCGTACTCTTCAGTTTCAGGGACTTTATCACAAAGACGTCAATATTGTATTGATAACATTTAAATGCGTTGGATTTTTTTTTTACAATAACTTACGCAATTCATTTTTCAATTTATATCAATTTTTGCAATTAACGTAGAAATAGCAAGGATGTGAATAAGCAAAAATTACGTATCAATCTCCCACTTGAAGTAATACAGAAATTAGTTGAGTCTTAAAGAAGAGTCACCTTGGCAACAATTCCAGTTCCAGTTCTTCATTCATGGCTCAACATACCAAGTACCATATTCATAGGACTAGATAGGCGACTTTCGTTTATTTTTATTATTTGATCCATCTCAAAACTATATTATAATTCCAGGTAAACTAGCTACCATTATTTCAATTACAGATAATTTGGTAGAATCTTAGCTCGTGTAATCTCTCCTTCGAGCTCTTTGTTCGATGAAGCTTTAAAAGTGTTAATACTGAAGGCGAGAACATCAGTCATGTAGATAAGACCCACATGAGATTTCTCTAGTCTACCTTTATTTGGA